CGATACTACTGCAAGGTTATACAGTGTTGTCAATGAAAAAAAAAAAAAATTTGTTTGCCAACTTTAGTGTTTCTTTCAGAAGGTTTTGGTGTGGTATGACACCCTGTCATTTTTATATGCCCGTTTACGGGACGTACTATGGTATACCGTTGTCTGTCTGTCCGTCGTCATGTCGGACACTAACTCAAAACCGCTTTCACCAATTTGCATAAAACTTTGGTGAATTGTTTATATCTATTGACATGAGCTCCCTTTCGTTTTTTATAAATTTTAGATTTTACGTTTCTGAGTTATGGGGTTTTATTCATTAAAAAAAGGGGGATTTTCCAGTTTTCAGACAATAAAAGCTTTCACCAACTTGCAAGAAATTGTGGTGAATTGTTTATATCTATTGACATGAGTTCCCTTTCGATTTTTATATATTTTAGATTTTACATTTCTGAGTTGCAGGGTTTTATTCATGAAAAAAGGGGGCATTTTCCAGTTTCGGACAAAAATCAAAAATGCTTTCAGCAGTTCGTATGAAACTTTGGTGAATTGTTTATATCTATATTGATGTAAGCTCCATTTAAAATTTTATAAATTTTACATTTTACATTTCTGAGTTATGGGGTTTTATTCATTAAAAAAGGGGTGATTTTCCAGTTTTCGGACAAAAGCTCAAAAATGCTGTCAGCAATTCTCATGAAACTTAAGTGAATTGTTTATATCTATTGATGCAAGCTCCCTTTACAGTTTCATAAATTTCTAATATGACTGGGAATTAATTGAACTTTATTTGTTTATAGTCTGACGACAGATTTACTAAGTATTGCGCAACAGCACAGTGTATTGCACAACAGCAAGAAATCTTTAATTTCATCACGTTCTAATGAAGTAACAAGCTTATTTTGCCGAAAGTTAGAATGATTTGATCTACAATTGAGTAACAAGTACCAGAAGTGATAAAAAAATTGTCTTTATGAAAATAACATGCAACCAACTTTAAAATCAATGCTTTCACCTCCTAAAAAAAATAAATTGTTTACGTCTTTGAATTCCTTTACTTTCAAATGAAAAATTGCTGTTTCATCGACTTGGTAAATGTTGAATATTGCCGATGACGAAAGTGACTGAAAGCGAGTATCGTAAAAAACAGGGCGACTAGATTTCGCTTTTGAAGGTCGGTCAAAGCGAAGTGGCGACCGGGGAAAGCGACTTTGTTGCCCCAGTAGCATGGTAACATGAGCCCTGCACAATGCTTATTACTTTAAAACACAGTCCTGTAATATTTTTTATTCTACTTTGAATATTGCCTGCTTATTTCAGCAACTATTCTTACAAAACAATCCACTATTTATCCTAGGTGTTGCACTCAGTATTGTTGATTATATTTATATGTATATGTAGTAAAGTGAATGCAACCCCCTTTTTGAAGGTAAGTAACAGTTAACAAACTTTATCACTTATCAGTAGTTTAGAATGGTTTAAAAAAAGATCTAATAGATGTAACATGCATTATGCCTTCCTCTCAAAAAGTTTGCATGTGTTTTAAAGTTGTTATTTAGCAATGTAATTTTTGACCTCAGTATTAACATTAATTTGGAAGTAAGTTAAAGGATTTCAGTTAACCAAAATTATTTCACGCCTAATTTATATAAACAAATCCCACGTCGATATATAACATGTACAACAATCAAACATCAACCCACGCCAAGCTGGATGTTATTGAAAGACATCTAGAGGTCAATATACAGTCTCGAACAAAAGACAAAATGAGGAAAAATATAGCGAATTTTTGAGAATTATTATTGCATGTATATTTGCAATATTTAAAATGCATAGTTTAAAATCTTTTGAGTTTTAGGTTCCACCTACCATTTTAGAAAACTGGGATTTCATTGCAGCTAGTCTATTAGATAACATTTTATAGTTTTGAATGTTTCTTCATCAGTTAACTAAAATTAGGTGGAGGTATGTTCTTATTTCTGACAGAGGGGTACTCAACCTATATCAATTTGTGCATGAAGCGATTGATAGTTGCTAGATACTGAATAATTTTACCACAAATTTGTGAAAGTTTTAACCGGTGTATATACTTAAAATATGTTAATAAAGTTCATGTCTTTTTCAGGACTTCTGATCCAACCATGTAGTATGGCATGTTTGTGAGATATGGTTTTGGCCAGTAGGATGTTCATGAAGGACCTGTAGTACAAAGTATATCACTGGATTGAGCTCATTGTCTATGTGTATTATTAAAGTGCTTTGCTTTGAGCTCAGTTCATTGTTATGCAATTCATTCTTTGTGAAATAAAGATTTGACAGACAACTCTCATGTACAAGGAATTGTCAAAGTAGTATCCATTCTATGAACAATGTAAGTAATAGGGAGATAAAAGCATTTTATTTAGATTTGAACCAAACATTTTTTGTCCATTAGCCAAACTAAAAAAAAGAAGCACAAATTCACCAAACAATGCTACTGGCGCTACTAGCAATATGATGCTAGGTTCTTTTGTTACACTTTATTATGCCCCAGCCATATCGGAGGGGGCATTAAGTTTTACCCTTGTCCGTCTGTACGTACGTACGTCCCAAAATTGGTTTCCGTTCTCTAACTTTAGTTTGCCTCAACCAAATGTTATGAAACTTATACACAATGCTTATTACCACAAAACACAGATCAAGTTTGAATTTTGGTGGCTTCACTTTCTAGAGTTATGCCCCTTAAGAAATGGAAAAATTTCTGAATATTTATTTTCTTCTAAATATCAAGTAATTTTTTAATTGGAGTTATCTTCCTTTGTCCATGATTATAGTTGAATCAGCTACAATCAATGCTTTATACAATGCAATGTTTAATTTTGACTTCCACTGATAAAACACAAATCAAGTTGAATTTGGGTAGTGTCACTTTAGTCATTATTGAGTTATGCCCCTTTATAAATTGAAAGATTGCAAATAGTTTCCATTCTGTAACTTAAGTTTGCCCCAACCAAACATTATGAAACCTATACACAATATTCATTACCACAAAACTAAGATCAAGTACAATTTTTTTATTACTACATAATACAGATTAAGTTTGAAATTTGGTGGCAACACTTTTACCATTCTTGAGTTATGTCCCTTTATAAACATAAAAATTGCTGAATTTTTCGTTTCCGTTCTCTAACTTCCAAATGTTATAAAACTTATACACAACCGTTCTAGAGTTATAATTATTTATTGCGTGTTTACAAATAGAAATTGCTGAATTTTTAGTTTCTGTTCTCTACTTAAGTTAGCCTCAACCTAATGTTATGAGACTTGCACACAATGCTTATTACCACAAAACTAGGATCAAGTTCAAATTTGGGTAGCGTCACTTTTACCACTTCAGTTATGTCCCTTTATAACTATATGATATACAAGTGGGGGCATCATCTGTGTCCACATGTGAACACTATCCACATTTTTTTTTTTTTACATCTGTACTGCCTACTGGTGACTCAGTTCTGAGTGTAAATGGTCATTCAGTATGTTAAGAAAAAGATCAGAATTTATAAGGCCTATCTGGCCTAATTGATTTCTAAAATATATTTCATTGTACATGTTCAACATTTATCATTCATTTGTTTATTTCTTAATTTGTGTGAATTAACAGTAAATGTTAGTTACTACACTTTCATACCATAACAAAACTGCCTTACTGTATTGGTATCACTTATATTTGTATCCATATAACAAAAAAACTGAAAAGAGAATACTTTTGCAATAGCTTTTTCATATTGAATACTAAAACTTTTTAGATATTTAGACATATTAAGTAGATGTTCATAATATCCACTTGACATTTTATCATATGACTTCTGTAGTTAGTTATGAGTCTTTGAAGCATGCTCACAAAGGTTTTTTTGTTGATATCATTTTCATACTGGTCAAAACTTTTTTTTTGCTTTGACCAGCTTTGGAGGAGACATTTTCAAACAATTAATAAAAAATAACACAGAAATTCACTTTCTAGCTCATTTAGCCCCAATCATCATGTCAGGCATTGTCATTACTAAAAAACATTAAATGTCTTCTAAACTGAGAAACAATTTCCACATTTAACTGAAATCTTTTACTTATGATACTGACAATCCCCCACAAAGTAACATAAATAGAACCATACAAATAGTAAGCAAATACATGTTCTCAGATACCATCTCCCATATAAAAAAAAATCACATTAAGAAAAAAATGAACCTATTATGTGTTCCTCTCCTAGCTACAAAATGTATCCAAAATCAAAGATGTGGAACATATATATTCTATCATAATCATTTGGTAATTAATGCAATTAGTATCTGTTGAACATAAAAAACTAAATATTACATAAACAACACCCCTAATGCTCATGTTGGTTGTCATTGTGCAACACAGTTAATACATAGAAAACATAAAACATAGAACTCCTTTTGTCATATAAAACACTGTCAAACATCCAATCATACTGTCCACACTGATCTGTATCCACACTTGTATTTATAGAAAATATACTAAAGGAATATTGAAACTCATATGCCAAAGACAAAGCAACAAAAACAAAACATCGACGGAAAGACAGCCACCAGTCTACAAAACACAACATGGAAAATTAAAGACCGAGTAACTTGAACGTGCATCATATAAAAGAGTAAATAAGTTTCAAAAAATTAAAGATATCAAATCATCCTGGATATAATTTGTAACATTTTTAGAATTAAATTCAGGATGATTTGATATCTTTGATTTTTCGAAACTTATTTACTCTTTTATATGAAGCACGTGTCATTGTTCATCGTCTCTGTTATTTCTTGCAACTTTTTTTCTAGTTTAGACACTCAAAACTAATAGTCAGCTTCCTATTCTGTTTGTAAGTGTTTCGTTATCTTTTTCGTTGCCCTTTGAAAAAATACACTTTTTATGTTTGTGTGTTTGACTGCAGTTTATGTTATTCGATACTATTTATAAAACATTCAGCGTTGTAAAACTGCTGCCAATCATGCAGTATTTACTCTGACTATGGAATTGTATTTATCTGCTCATTATGTCATTTGTACAGGTTGAGGAATAGTGTGGTCGCTTTTAGAATACTGAATAAGGCAACATTGCTGTTTATTCGATAAAGATTAAATCATTTCCCATCAAAGGTGATATAATAAAAAAAAAAAAAAGGTAAACGATAGTAGGACAGTATTTATCCAGATTAAATATTCACAGCTTTTTCTTCGTAAAAATCACTAATAGGTCAATTACTCGTGACACAAAAACAAATCCATTATTTCAATTCAAATAAAATTTGAATTTACTATTTCATACTGCTGGTCATCCATATCTGGTGATGTTCTGTTTAAAGTAGTGTAATTTAATGTATTTCTTGACTCAGAAAGGCTGTCGTACTGCATGTTTCTGTTATCGCCTTGATCAGCCTCTTTTATAGATAGTTGTCTGAAATTATAAGAAAAAATCATTACGAGGTATCTTTAACTTGTTTTTAGGACTGTTAACTGACTATCTAACCAATTGATTTGGGCGTTACAGAAAACTGGTATTTTGGTCAGTTTTTTATTTCCATAAACTATCACTTCAGAATAAAAATCATCGCTGACACGAAACTCAAACTACATCTGTAATTTCTAATGATATAACTTGATACCGAATATCTAATGGATAGATATATGCATTCAAAACCAAATGGATAATATCGGATGGAGGTACGGACTGAAGAAAGACGGACGGCAAGACGGAGTACAATTCTTTTTTTTTTTTGGAGGGAGGATTTGCAGCTAAGGAACCTCTATTAAACAACATACAAGTCTAAATCGCCCAAAGCATTTGAAAGAGTCGTACAAAAAGCGTCAATCAACACAAATTCAACAAAAAATATAAAACCCGTATTAAGACAACCATTCATGAGGCATTAATCAAACACCCAACATGCGTCGAGCTGAAACAATTTAACTAAGCACTCAATAGTGTTTTTTTACCTCTGTCATGCTCCATATCTGCACCAACATTTTGTGTGTGTGGCTCCACTGTGCAGAAACATTAATTGTCATTGCATTTTGATTGATTGAGTTTAGGAGTATATGTTTGTATGTAACCTAAAGAACATGTAGATTATCTCTGTCTAACAATAATATCTATACATTATCATTGTCATGCAGATTAAGTACCACACCCTTGAAATAAAAACAAAGCTTATCTGTTCCTGAATGTTTTCCGTGATTAAAATAAGCAGATTTGGTATGATTGCCAACGAGACACCATTTAAAAATGTGATACTTGTTAAAGTATAGAACGTTTCCGACACATCGTATGACTTGCAAATGAAATATATAACTGTGAATACGGTATGTAATACTTCAATTTCCTGATGAAAGTATTACCTAAAAAGATTACTTAATCCAGTGTTAAAAATACACATACCTTTTGCATAAAATTACAACTAATATTGATACACAAATGATAAACCCACCAGCCGTTCCCAGAGCTATGTAAAGTGTACTGTCACCTGAAAAGTATCAAGAGACTAAAAAATACTAGATTGTTTAACTATAATGCAATTTTTTTTTAATATTATTCATACATGCTCATATTTACCTATCAAAAATTCATATATTCATTGCATTGACGATAAAATGCTCCACGGGGCGCAGCTTGATACGACCACAGGGTTCGAACCCTGAACAGTTGGGGCAAGTATGGACACTACATTCAAGCATGGTACAGCTCTGAATTCGGATTGTGATTAAATATTTGATATATCATAGGTTTCTGAAACAGAATGAATATGGTCAAATAACCGAAAAATTTGAAATTGGACTTTTACCTATTATGGTCCAATATCCAAAATCTAAATGCACAGTTAGATTCAGCATATCAAAGAACCCACAGAATTTTTACATACAAAAAAAAAGAATAAAATGCTCTGCGGGTATATCTTTTTAGTTCGATATATCATTTAAGAAAAACGAAATGTAGATAATGAGAACGGATGTCAAGTTGGTTCAATATTCAACATTCAACATTCAAATTTTTTTTTTTTTTTTTTTTTAGGGGGGGGGGGTTGTTTTATTCATTTTCAACATTCAACATTCGTTTTCAACATTCGATTTTCAACTTTCAACATTCGTTTTCAACATTCAACATTCGTTTTCAACATTCAACATTCGTTTTCAACATTCAACATTCGTTTTCAACATTCGATTTTCAATATTCAACATTCGTTTTCAACATTCAACATTCGTTTTCAACATTCAACATTCGTTGAAAATCGAATATATATATATATAAACAAGTCTAAATTGAAAACAACGTTCAAACCTATGACTGCGTTGGATAAAAACCGCAGTTTTTATACGTGTACATGCTAAATAAATTTCTTGGTAGAGGGGTCTAAATACAGCACAAACAACATTTTCCAAAAGACCAAAAAAGTGAAAAAGTATATTTTAACAAAACGCATTTGACTAACAGGTCGGAAAACAAATGTTCTTAGACCCTGCTGACTGCCATTGGCGATTGCCAAATAAACGGATCACAAGATGTAACAAATGGATCTTTATAATAATTTAATACCAAACAGAAAACAATAAACTTGCGGAAAAGATGGTATACCGCAAACAAAAGGTGCAAATTTTTTTAGTACACCATATCCGGATTTCGACAATTAATGTCTCTTCAGTGATGTTAGGAATCGAAACGGTATTTGGAAGGCCATATAATTTACCTCAATTTAGGATAGACTCTTGAATTTTGAAGAGTCGAAATAGGATGAACGGATCATATAAACCCGAAGGCAAATATAATACAAGCCCAAACGAAAAAATATAAACAAGTCTAAATTGAAAACAACGTTCAAACCTATGATTGCGTTGGATAAAAACCGCAATTTTTATACGTGTGCATGCAAAATAAATTTCTTGGTAGAGGGGTCTAAATACGCACAAACAACATTTTCCAAAAGACCAAAAAAGTGAAAAAGTATATTTTAACAAAACGCATTTGACTAGCAGGTCGAACAACTGATGTTCTTAAGGTAGCACTACAGTCTAACAATGATTTTTTGAAGATATTTTTTTTATCACATAATTTTGAATTAAGTATTATTCTGCACAGTTTGTAAAAATCCCAAAGTCATTATCATATCACAACAGGGAGTAAATTGATAATGAACTTATGTAAATAAAAGCACATGGTAATTAATCTAAATATATAGGCATTTGGGAGGGGCTAATATGTCAATCATCTGTTGATACCAGTGTCCAGCTGTTAATCCCTGACCACAAGATAAATATTGTGGTCTTATCTCATTGTATTGCGACAAAAGTAATTTATGAGAAAAAGAAAAAGATATGAAGGAAAAAATCTAATGGGAAGAAATTTACAAAAATGAAAAAAAAAATATGGAAAAGAGTGTGAAAGTATCTTTGAAAGCCTCTGACTGCCTGTATAAATTTCTTCTATTTGGTCTTCTACATTTAAATACAGTTTTAGGCATTTTAACCAATTTTAAGTTTATGTGAAAACTCAAAAATCATGTGGGAGTGTCTTTTTTTAAAGAAGTGGATGGTCTTGGATCTTTTTATTAACATGTCTTTTGATGCACAATTTTAATGTTCTAGCTTAAATTTCAGTAATAGTATATTTCTTTTTAAAATATAAATGAAATTTATTCTTTATAGTGAGAATAATGATGTTAAATATTGATTATATGCAGCTGGTCAATCCTGTTATTCTCTTATCTTAGACTGTCTGGACAGAGGCGGAGATTTGTCTATATTTAATTACTACATCACAGATATTAGTCAAATCTGTGACGTCAAACTCCCGCCAAATGCCAAGTTAGTGTTGCACAGTGCCACACATAATGCAAAATTTACAGCATAAGAGCATCAAAGAGACAAAGTGTGTGGTTCTATTGATAAAGTAATGGTGTCAGAATACTCCTGGGGTGTTCGCAGTGGAATTTTTGTATTTATGTTGCATTTATAGGGGTTCTAAGGGGGAAATTCCGTTTTTAGGTCATTTCTCAGAACAATTTTTCATGAGATTTGTTAGGAAAAAATGAAAATATAAACTTTATGGGAACCCCCTTTGGCTTGACTTTGATATATGTGATTAAAGAGAGTATTTTCTACAATACCGTGTCCCAGTTTTTGGATAATTTGTTTCTAAATGAATTTATAGGTCTCCAAAGATGAAAGGTGAAATGAGGTTTGGCACCCAGCAGTTAAATCAATATACATGTATCTTCTTACTGGAGGCATATATCAAAAATCTGAGACACGGTTTTTCAGTTTGTATATGGTTGATTAAAGGGATGAAAACAAAATTTTACTACCATTTGACCTGAATGTGCTATTTCCATCCAATTTGGAAGACCACTTTTTTGGCAATTAATGAGCTATATTTTGAGATTTATCATACCAAAAATAAATTTATCTATAAATTAAGAAAGAGTAGTATTTCAGCTTTAAAATGAGTTAAAGATTTTAAAAATCCATTGAATAGTTTTGGAGAAATTAATCTTTAAAGACTGTTGGTTGGAGTCAGAAAATTCTGACTGTAGTGCTACCTTAAACCCTGCTGACTGCCATTGGCGATTGTCAAATAAACGGATCACGAGATGTAACAAAATGGATCTTATAATTAATCTATTACCAAACAGAAAACAATAAACTTGCGGAAAAGATGGTATACCGCAAACATGAGATGCAAAAATCTGTACACCATATCCGGATTTCGACTATTAATGTCTCTTCAGTGATGTTAGGAATCGAAACAGTATTTGGAAGGCCATATGATTTACCTCAATTTAGGATAGACTCTTGAATTTTGAAAGAGTCGAAATAGGATGAACGGATCATATGAACCCGAAGGCAAATATAATACAAGCCCAAACGAAATAATATATAGAAGTCTAAATTGAAAACAACGTTCAACCCTATGATTGCGTTGGATAAAAACCGCAATTTTTATACGTGTGCATGCAAAACATATTTCTTGGTAGAGGGGTCTAAATACAGCACAAACAACATTTTCCAAAAGACCAAAAAAGTGACAAAGTATATATTAACAAAACAAATTTGACTAGCAATACGAACAACTAATGTTCTTAAACCCTGCTGACTGCCATTGGCGATATATATAACAACTATTTTATATACACTCATTCGTGTGTTAAAGTTACACTCTTAGGCATTAATATATATATATCCATTTTGTTACATCTGGTGATCATTTTATTTGCCAATCATATAAAACCGAAGGCAAATATAATACAAGCCCAAATGACATTTTCTTTTCATAACAATTATTTGATCATTATTGATAATTTATTGAATAAATTTTAATGACAAAATTGCTTTATATTTAAGAGCTCAAGAATTTTTTTTTTTTTTTTAAATAAGTGTTTTTTTGTTCAAAGAAAAATAATCTCAAAACTGAATTGTGACTTTTTGTCCTGTGACTTTTTGTCTGTGACTTTCTGTCCTATATTCGACAGAGACCTGACCTATAAGGTTGACCTATTAATTTATGCACAATTGTTTCAAGTTCTCTGATAAGAAAGAAAAATGTATCACTTGGTTTCCGAAGACCCCTTCTGTCCTGTTTGTTAAACCATTTCCCATATGCATTTACAAATGAAATGTTATTAGTACAGTTCAAAACATTTGCTTGCAGTAGATAATTTATAACACACTGAGTAACGTTTCTTCATTGCCTTTATAATGATACCGGCTACTTGTATATAATACACAATGCAGTAATTCTTCTTGAAATGTGTGGTCAGTTCTCAAACTACGTAATTGGCGAAATAGCAGCTCACAATCACTTGTTGTGGTAAGATTAGTTGAGCTTGCCACAAAAATGGTTTTGCACCTATTTCCCGAAATTGATAGATCGGGAAGAAGCAGAGTTGCATATAGCAATAATGTCATCATTTACAAGAATGACATATTTGTTTTCAAAGTTTTGGCAAATGAATGAAATAAAAAATTTACAGAAGTTAACAAATAAACACATTGTTCTTACACATTGAATTACGCTTTTTCATCAAAAGTAAACACTTTAATTACGATTTGTCATCAAAAGTAACTTGAGCGGGAATCATTAATAATTACATTTAAAAATGATTAAAGTCCCTTACCATCACAACAATGTCTATACGTTACAAAAATAAGAAAATAATTCGATACATGTGTACAAAAAAATTACCGAATAATTGTTCCGATATCGTAAGTGACAAGTAGCAGTGGCGAGTAGCGAAGTCTCGCCGCGTTAGAGAAAACGATAAACCACGAGATTCCAATCCTTCTTACTTTACAAATCCTTGGTCTAAATAACAGCCCAACAATGTTAGATCTGTAAATTTGCGAAAGCAAATTTTTTGTTTTTCCCTGGCTGAGATTCGAACTCATGCTACTGAGATATCGTGGCACCAAATCGCCTTGCACTATGCCCGACGCGCTAGACCACTCGACCACCTAGGCTCGACAAAAATCAAGCTTTCGGTGGCCGGGTGTTACCTTTCCTCGTCAGTTTTTATCTAGCGTCGTAACAAAGTACATGATATATAAGGCATGAAGATGGAATATTACAGATCTGCTGAATTATCTATCGTAGAGGATCTTACAAATTAATGTAGGATGCAGTCACAGAAATAATTATATCATAAGTACGTCTGAACAAGTGAAAACTCTACGACAGATTTTATCCATCGGATCACCAGTGATGGTGATACAAGGCTGAAACACATTCTTTATACATAATTCGTCTAAATAACAGCCCAACAATGTTAGATCTGTAAATTTGCGGAAGCAAATCTTTTGTTCTTCCCAGGCCGGGATTCATATATATATATATATATATATATATAAGTCTAAAGATTTGTACAACGGTACTAATATACGATGATAATATACGAAGATGATATTATTGTATAAACTATTGGTATTGTATAAATTAGTGACACTAACGAAGGCTATTTGTTAAGCCGAAATATTTGTCAATACGATTTTATAACATCATCTGCGTATATTACTATCTTTTATTAGTACCGTTGTGCAAATCTTTAGACTTAAATAATTTTTTCCTTTTCTGCGCAGCATCGTCTATTCTAGTCGATCCGGTACATATTAAATTTGCTGGTCGGTCCTTTAAATTTATAATTAAGATCCATTTACTACACCTTGTGATCCGTGTATAACCGCAATTTTTATACGTGTGCATGTAAAACAAATGGTAGAGGGGTCTAAATACAGCACAAACAACATTTTCCAAAAGACCAAAAAAGTGAAAAGTATATTTTAACAAATCGCATTTGACTAACAGGTCGAACAACTGATGTTCTTAAACCCTGCTGACTGCCATTGACGATTGCCAAATAAATTGATCACGAGATGTAACATGGATCTTAATTATTAATTTAATACCAAACAGAAAACAATAAACTTGCGAAGAAGATGGTATACCGCAAACATGAGGTGCAAAAACTTGTTCACCATATCCGGATTTCGACAATTAATGTCTCTTCAGTGATGTTAGGGATCGAAACGGTATTTGGAAGGCCATAAAATTTACCTCAATTTAGGGTAGACTCTTGAATTTTGAAGAGTCGAAAAAGGATAAACGGATCATATAAACCCGAAGGCAAATATAATACAAACAAGTCTAAGTAATTTTCACACTTATATATATATTTAGTAATTATGAATATAATATGTGTTTTTGCACTGGATACAAACAAAATATGAATTGAACATATTATAAAAATAAGGAGATGTAATATAATTGTTAATGAGACAATTTTCCAGCGGTGTCGATCACAGGACGAAGATTTAAAACATTAAATGTCACAATACGGCCTGTAACATTGAGGGAAAAACCATACCGTATAATATGCCATAGAAAACTCCGAAATGACAAAATGTGAAACACTTCAAAGAGGAAACCAACGGCCTGATTTCTGCTAAAAACAATAAACGATAAACAAATATGACAGTTGGTGTTTTTCTTTTTTTTTTTAGCCATTTGCCGATCTAATGAGTCAAACCATTTTGAACTGTTTTTTAAAGCTCTTATGTTGTGCTGTTACACTTCTTTCCCATGTGAGGGGGTTGTGCGCTTACAATCGTGATTAACCCCGCCACATTCTATGTGAGTCTGTCCCAAGTCAGGAGCCTGTAATTCAATGGTTGTTTTTCGTTTATTCTTTTATCATAAATCAAGCCGGTTTTTTTCGTTTAAATTGTTTCACATTTTGTCATGTCAGAGCCTTTTACAGCTGACTATACGGTATGGTGGCTTATTGTTGAAGTCCATGTGAGGACATACAGTTGCTAGAATCCACTTCATTTGGACTTTGGTGGTAAGTTGTCTTATTGGCAATCATACCATATCTCCTTATTTTATAACGATATTGCTTTGAACTTAACTTTACGAAGAATGGGATCAAAAGAGTTCATCCCCAATTTAAATGGTAATTTCCAATTGTGTGCAGCGTTTTGAGTATGTTTTCTGTTAATTTTGTATTGCCCTTTGTTATCTTTTATCTGTTTTTTAATAACAAGTTCAAACGATATGACGTCAATGGTAATGAAGTGTCAAATTTTTTATGGTCCACCGTCGTCATAAAGCAATGAAATTGTATATTATAGAAAAAGCAGGCATCGAAAAAGCAGATTATTTACCTTCAGAATCTGTCTTGTCGTGTATTGGTAGTTCATCAGTCATTGTCGTAGTAGATGACAACATCGGTGTTACATGTACTGTTGTTGTAACATCGTTAAGAGTTGTACGATGTTGTGTCAATGTATCTAGTGGTGTCGTAACTGCCGGACCATCACATGATATCTCAAGAAAACTGTCGTCCTCGTCGCCTTCCCTGTGTTCTGCAAGTTAAATAAAAATAAGATTTACTTTCTATAAACACTAAAAAAGAGTGTTTTCTTTATTTTCATTTTCGTTAGTTTTGCCACAATAGATACATCTTTTTCATTGCAAAGAAAAGGAATCTAGGGGAGACAAAAAGTAGGGAACCGGTCACGATTGAAGAGTAAGCATTTTGTTCTTATGAAAATTTATGCTTTAAGTCATTACATTTCAAACACTCAATGACTTTCTTTTTAAACAGGCATTTTCACAAGTCTCCTTATACATTATCAAAATAAGAATATGTCTCCATAGGACACACTGCCACAATCTCATGTGAACCGTTTAATCTGGGTTAAATCTAAAAGGTTCACATATAAAACACATGTGTACTTAGTTTCAATTTGATATGGCAATCGTAGTCTGTAAATCACAGTTAAGATATACCAAATTTGCAATAAAAAGCCATATATTAGAAATAAAGACACCTTGGCAAAAAAACAAAGTAGACAAAACAAACTAGTCGAACTCAGGGCGAAGGACATTTACGCGAATTATTTCAAACGCCTTGTTTGTACCGGATTAATCTGTTCACAGTATTGTCGATATCCCATTTTTCAAAATATTGTGTATTGCAAAATATCGTTTTATTTATATTATTGATATTTGTACTAATTTTTATAAAATATGTTGATGTATATTATCAAGCCTCTTTATTATCAAAATTTCGTTTGCTAGGTTTGTGAATGAAACAAATACCAGGAAGTGTTGCAATACTCTAAGTAAAATTGTAGTTACAATGTGTTAAAAAGTTTAAGGATGTTCGCTCCCTTTTCTTTTGAATTTTTGCCAGATATTTGGAATCCTCTGGTTTTATCCATGTAGAGCCATTAACAATTTTGCACGCTATTCCCTACTTTTCTTTCCATAATATGATTACATATTTTAAATTGCCATCTTACAATCTTATAAAATCCTTGTTATTTTTTCATAGTCTTTGAAAGAAAAAAATTGCTAACGTAAAATGTATGAAAAATCTAGAGAGAATCATTTCCCGCAAAATTTTCAAAGGCTTATATCTTCAAAACAAGCACACGGACCCTTTATTTTTTCTGATTTTTTTACTTCCTTTATTTATATACTATCAATTTATAACAGTCTTTCAAAAAGCTTGTTATTTTGAAACAGAGTAGCGAACATCCTTAATTATATAGATCAATGGATATTTTAAAAAAAAAGGGGGAGCATTTTTAGGAAAGTGTAATCCATGCATGTACATTTTATGTTAAAACCCGACAAATCATATTCGTCCATAACTTAAGGAATGACTGTAATATTTTTGTCTGTCTATGAAGAAATAACATCAAAAATGTGGTGCACACTGAATAACCCGCCATATGGCAAAATTTGGGGTAATTTGCTAATTTGCATAGCGGCCATTTTGCCTTATCATGACGGCAGCCATTGCAATAGGATTATATAAGCCCCTTAAATAAAAATGCCAATATGCCAATACCTATCTCGAATGAACAATTTGTTCGCATATAGGTGAATTGTACATGTTTTTAGGCTTCTGTCCGTGTACAAATGGACATTGTCTACTCTGAAATCTTTCGGCCTTTTTAGTTTAAAAATCGGAAGCGTAGTCATAGTATAATTGCTATATAAGATCATATAAATGACGGAAAATCGTAAAATAGCAAGATTCAAAACAGAAATACATATGCAAGAAGATATTGCTCATGATTTGTTCGCATATAGGGAAACACCTTGTAGGTTGAATTTTAAAGTTAAATAACTTTTAACTTACCTGCTTTCTAAAGTTTTCGGCCAAATTCTTTTAAAAAATGATGATTTCAACCTTCCCATTTCGTAAAAAGTCAAATTTTAAGCATTTTCCCTTAGAATTACACAGCATTTTTTGTAAATATCCGCCAAAGGAAGTTTTTAAAGATACATTAGTTTTAGATATATGACGGAAAAGGACGTGATTATCCGCAAATCTTAAATAAATTATATGTTCAATCTTAAGCTAAGGGAGGTAATTTGATCAAAAGGGACAAAGTCACGTGGTCCAAATCATTTGAATAAAGTACCTTTGATTTTGCCATATGCGTAGCGGGTTATTTAAAAGTGTGCACCACATTTTCTAGGTTATTTCGAATAGACAGAAAAAATAGTACAGTCATTCCTTATCATTTTATTCTATAAAGGAGTAAATATTGATAAAAACGTTGATGATGTCACGGTCACATGACAAAATTATGTCTATGAGCTGATAGACAAAACACTTTCAACCAATCAGAAGACGTGTTACACCCAAAATTAAATTATTTGTATTTACATCAATAAAAAAAAAACTCTATGCTCTATTCGAACTGAATTATGAACGATGCGTCGATATCTTGTACAAGCTAAACTACTTTGATTGTATTTAGATGCTTTGACCTTGCTTTTGTTCGTGGTTGTATTGACGTATATTTTCATGCAAGCATAAGGATTTAGAATTACTCAAAACTTTTTCATTGTGATATTTGTTAAAATGAAAACATTATTTTAGGGTTATTTTATTTTGGATAACAGGTTAGGCATTTTTTCATTACTCAGATTTCAACGCAAACATGAAAATTAACTCGAAATGGAACTCGAATTGTAATTTAACCGGTAATTCATCTCAAAGTCTGAAATATCATATCGAACAGGAAATATATTATCAATTGTACTTCAAACTTTAGGGGGGTACCCAACACTTTGGCTAAAATAGATTTGGCTTGTTTAATTTTTAACAAAATATTAACTTTGAACTGTTGACAAAAATATAGAAATTTCAGAATATGTAACCACACAATTTACAGTTATAATTGGATACACAGCAGTTTGACAAAATTTCCAGTTTATTAATTGTGATCTTTGAGAAGCTTGATTTCTCTTCCCTAACAGGATATGATAGAAACATTCAGCTGGTTTTTTTTAGTTTACCCCCTTAGGTGTTTTGAACTCCCTTAAATCAAACTGTAATTCTAACCTTAAGTCAACCTACTTTTCAAATTTTGAAAGTTTTGCTTCTTCTTAACCTTATAATTATGATCAATTATATATAGAATGACAACTGCAATAAAAACAGAAGCCAGATGTTGCATGAAGTTTACAATTCAATTGCTTCTTAGCTGGGTCAACATGTTTTTTAACCTTAAGGGATAAACATTTACTTATACTAAGATGCATTTTAATTATAATGACTACATATCGGACTGTCTTAAATTATTTATTTCTGTTATCATCATGCATACGGGTAAAGGATGACTTGGCCAACCACAGGCGTAATCAGAAAAAAAAAAAGAATTTTATTAGTACTTTTGGTGATTAAAAATTTTCTTCTTTGATCTTTATAAACAACGAATAAAACATTCAATTTGATTACATATAATGCTTTGGGAATGCACTATCATGTGGACAGTGTGACTGTAAAAGTATTTGTAATGCAGGCATTCATAAGAGTATGCATTCAAATTACATCTTTACGTTTGTTTGTTGGATCTTTTGACGTAAATAATAGCAAGATGATAAATTCATTGTTTATACCTTAAAAGGTTTTTCTACCCCAATAATAGACAACTTTAGCTGTATTTGAAAAAAAACCTTTTTGAATTTTGGGTCCTAAATACTCATCATCTTTGTACTGTATTTATCCTTTTTAATCTTTTATTCGAGCGTCAATGATGGGTCTTTTGTAGAAATTGTAATTGCATGCCTTATAAACACACCATTTGTATACGTGTCTAAAAATATTTAGCATTTACCCTTTTCTTCCCTTAAGACAGTGAGTGCACTATGAAGCATTTTGAACTTTTTCAAATTCCCGTTCTAGGCAACAACAAAAAACGTGCACTGTTGTGATTTACAATTGGATGCAGATATAGATTTTTTTTATCTTTATTCAGTATGCAATTATCAAGCTATGTCTCGAAAAAAATTGTGTACATTTCTAACGAACCTCTGGATATCTGTATGCAGTATCCACTAGAGAAATTCCCGTCTACTACTCTGGATGTGAACTGTATATATTCATTTCTTATAAGTGAAAGACTTATCGTCGTCTCTTTACTGTCACATCTAGTAGGTGTTCGGTTAAGTAAAATAAATTCTTGTCGTCTACGTTGATAGATCTCTATTTCCATCCCACACAGTGACTGACCTGTAAGGTTGTTAAGTCGCCTGATATACAGATTTACAAATGTTTTGAGGTTCTTTACTGATAGAAAACATGAACAGTTATGACTTCGCTCTGTTAGAGAGAGAAATACACTGTCAAAGTTAGCATTGCCATCTTTATCATCCTCCACCGATGTTGTTGTTTGGCACATTTTTGCCACTGAAGAATATAATGCAAAATACAAATATGCAAATATTCGCTGTTTTTCTTTCTGTGCATATTAACGAACCAGTATTATAACGAATTTTTCACACATAAATGAAATGATATTAATTCCCTTTCAATTTGTTATACACTTGTAATAATTTTGTGTTAAAAACAGGAATAAACGCCACTTTTTGTGGCGTTGATACAGTCGTGTGACGCGCAGTTTATACTTCGTTTGTGGTGTAATGTCGTAAATTCATGGAAGGTTATTCTGTGGTTTACATGTTGTAATGTACCATTATATTATTTATTTATGTATTTCTCTGTTCTGGGTGTTCTTGCGTTTATTTTTACTGTATTCCTGTCATGTATTGTTGTCATTTTATCATTGCCATATAAGCGGGGGGTTTGGCTAGCCATTAATCCAGGTTCAACACACCAATCTTTTTCTTAAAATGTCCTGTACCAAGTCAGGAATATGGCAGTTGTTATCAAATAGTCCATTTCTATGTATGTTGGCGTTTGTTTTTGTTGTATTTCAGTGTTTCTGTTGTTCCGTTGTTTTCCTCTTATAGTTGATGTGTTTCCCTCGGTTTTAGTTTGTAACCCGGATTTGTTTTCGCATAATGAAAGTATGATTTTGCGCAACTTGGTGATGTGAAAAGCAACTATAAAAAACAAAACAAAACGGAATTCATCAGATGAAGACATCATATATTTTATAAACATTTGAATGACTCATAAATTAAGTAAATAAGGCCACTGAGGCAGGCCTCCGCTCAAACTAGTGCTAAGGGCCATCTTGAACTTGCAAGTGAATTTGTGATAAAAGTCACAAAAAAAGTGAGTGTAGGGATTTTAGGTGATGAATAAATTTATCCGATCCGGTCTTTTTCAGTTGAACTTGAAAGAAGTGATACTAGTAAAAGCATTGTCGTTCAGCAAACAAAGAAAAAAACAACAGTAAGGAGTTTAATGGGAGCATTGTGATTCATTTTATTAATATCTTTTTGTCAAACTGTTAAATGTTTTTTTTTTCATTTTAGATGGAAAAACATTTTTTTTAATCCTATTGTTTTGGATATAAACAACTACAAACAGTTACTAGGTGTGGGTACATGTAATAATGGAAAAATATTTAACAGTTTGATAAAAAGATATTTATAAATGAATCGCCATTAGTTAATTTTTTTCTTCTAACTAAATAAGCGAATCTTCTCATTATTTCAGTTATTTTGTCAAATTCCTAGTCAAAATCAGGTATTTTATAAATCCACTAATCAATCCAGTGATTATACAAAACTTCTGAAATGTCAAGGATTTCATAAAATCACTTACTTTACACATGCTTTGTTATATTTATATATATGATTTATATACGATGACTTTCCGTTTTGAATTTTCCTCGGAGTTCAGTATTTTTGTGATTTTACTTTTTACCTCTCGTTGATGCTGTTATTTCAGTACTGGGACACGTATCCATTATACATTCTGAAGCTAAAAGAAAAAATAGAATTATATTCCTGCATCCCAAAAAGTCAATTTAGTACTAACCTCCTGAATCATATAGAGTTATTACGAAAGAATCTAATTTTTAAAATCCCTGATTTTAGGTTATGGAATTTTGCAACACATCATACATTGTGGCAAGTCACGTATAAATAGCAGTAAAAGAATTTATTTCATAGTACACATTTTACGATCGCGTATCTGTAAAGGAACACGGCGACAAAAAAAAGAACAATTTGGTTTCCATTGTCCACTGGATAATACATGAGGCATATCTATAACTCAAACCGATTAATTAACAATCTGATTTGGTAAATTTTGATAGTTTAGTGATTTGGAAGTTCGTGTGGTAGTCTTGATTTGATTACAATTGCAAAACATTGACGGATCAGAGATATATTCCATACAGCAGGCCACTCACTAACTCACTAACGAATGATACAAAAATGGAGAATGAACAGTGCTTACATGAGTAATTTGAACAAGGCAATACACTAAAGGTCCATTAAACCGAAAAAGGATTCAAGTTAACATCTGCCACATTTATGGAATATTGATAAGAATTAAGAAAATTATCATTAGGACATTATTTACAATGATTATTTAAACTTGAACACATTTATTGGTAAATTTACATATTCTTATACCCCACTACTAAAAGTATCTGTATTTCGGTACATCTATTGTTCCCCTGGGTTGTGTTAAGATTCAGCACAATTTTCAATTCAGACATGCATGCGTAATCAACAAACACCACAAAACGAACTCTGCTAAATTATTATTGATGCCATGTTGTTCTAGAAGAGTCGGGAAATACTGCTCTGTAACTATTTCCGATTAGTCATTGCTGGTCTTTTATAAAAGCCTAGTCAAATGTGGCTTTAAAACGAAACTTATTACGACCCTTCATAATTTGTCTGAAACCGATTCCATAGCTGATAAAGACGTGACTGTATAAATACAAGATACTGAGGCCATTTTGATGTACACAATTTGCATGTTGAAAATCGCTTTCTCCTTTAAATTCAAAATGTTTGACATGACAAAATGTGAAACAATTCAAATCAAAAAACCGACGGCGTGATTTATGACAAAATGATGCACATATATATGACAGACAGTAACCAAGGTCAACCACTAAATAACAGGCTCCTGACTTAGGACTGCCTGATATCTTTGATGAGGTTTTATAAAGACAAAAGGCACAAAGTACCGATCTAAGACTACTCTCACTTTCTGAAAGCTTGTTCAAATCCAATAACTACTAATGAATAAATCATGATCTCCCAGACCAAATGGCTTGAGAGAAAAGTACTGCATTTATTTGTCTGTCTGTAATGTTTAACGGAACTATAAATGAAACACTAATTTGATCAAGCTGTTTCAAATCCTTTCTGGAATATTTTTATACCCAATTTTTTATAGCGATCTTTCACAAATATATATGCATTAAAGTCATACATCAACTGAGAGACGGAATGGCGAAATGAAACTATTTAAAAATCTGCATTTTTCTTACCACACATTTGTTCTAGTCATAGATGGTTAGATGATAAATCTAAAGAAAGGAGTTACTAACTCTGTGCTTTTACTGCGGATTCAAAAATTGGTGAGTTTCTAGGCTTCATATGTAATAAATTTGAAAACCAAAATCATCTCAAAAATACTCAACCGGATGAAGACAAACGTTACAGAAAGTTTTCTTATGTGGTACAAAGTTCTAGTCGATTGTTATTTCGTTACGTAAAATTATCTGACCAATATTGGGAAAAGTGTAGAAACCAATTTCGCGAAAACCGCTCAATCAGTTGGTAGTAGAAGTTAAATATTCAGACTATCTTTTCCTTCAACGATTGGTACTTACCTTCACATATTAGTTTACTGTCGATTGGCAAAGAAACAATATTTAAGATCCATGTTCGCATGCAGACAAACTCTCTGTAGTTTTGAGGTTGTAGTTAAGGAATGACTGTAATATTTTTTTTCTGTCTATGAAGAAATAACATCAAAAATGTGGTGCACACTGAATAACCCGCGTAGCAGGTTATTTTAAAGTGTGCACCACATTTTTTATGTTATTTCGAATAGACAGAAAAAATATTACAGTCATTTCTTATAATTTAATTCCAAATTCCATTTTAAACCGGAGTGAACCATGAAAAGACGTTGATGACGTCACGGTCACATGCCAAAATTATGTCCATGAGCTGATAAACAAAACAACGTCAGCCAATCAGAAAACGCTTACATCCAAAATTAAATTATAAAAGTATAACAAAAATACCGAAATCCAAGGAAATTTCAAACGGGGAATTCCATTAAAACTGACAAAATTAAACGCTATCAATCAACGGAACAAGTGAAAACTAAAAGTATCTGTATTTCGGTACATCTATTGTTCCCCTGGGTTGTGTTTAGATTCAGCACAATTTTCAATTGCAAATTGTTGTTATTTGATGATATCCTGTTAATAATTGAAGTTGTTTACACAACGTTACATATTTTTAAGGAAAGATGTTGAAATAAATATGATGTTTAGAGATGTAAATGTACCTCAAAACGGATATCTTTATGTCTGAAAGCTAAGTTCACATTAAAGATTCTGAATCAGTTGTGAAATGGAATAATTATTTTTGGTATAAATACATCTGTATATAAAAGAGGGACGAAAGATACCAGAGGGACAGTCAAACTCATAGATCGAAAACAAACTGACAACGCCATGGCCAAAAATAAAAAGACAAACAGACAAATAATAGTACAGATGACACAACATAGAAAACTAAATACTAGGCAACAAGAACCCCACCAAAAACTGGGGGTGATCTGAGATGCTCCGGAAGGGTAAGCAGATCCTGCTCCACATGTGACACCCGTCGTGTTGCTTATGTTATTATTAATCCGGTAAATAGTCTAATTCGGTAGGTCACATTCGAGAAAAGGGAAGGGTATTGTAGTTACGACATAAGAAACATATCCGTTATCATCTGTGAAACGGTTATTCCATAACGGTCAACCAACTTGTGATGGCGTCTGTAAAATTTACCAAGTGATGATTTCAACTTCACCATTTGGAACTCTTGGTTTAATAGCTTCCTTGTGAACAGCAATCCTCTATCAAGGAAATCATGATAGGAAATACAAGCCCGGGAATATCGTATCAATTGGGAGATATACTCCGTATGCAGGCGCTGCTGGAATGTTACTACATAGAAATGGAAAGTTCACAATTGGGAAGCTGAAATCATCTCTTTTGTCGTGAAGTTTTGCTTTCAACCAACCCTCATTGTCAATTTCTAGATGTAAGTCAAGATATGAGGCAGACTTAACTGTAAATATAACTTCCTTCATATGAGATTTAATGTAAACTTATGTCTTACCTTGTATAATAAGCAGAGCCCATTTAATCACCATAAGATATATATTACGTTTCATAATATTGTCAAAGTAAACAAGGAAGTCCTGATCTAGTAAATCAGAATCTAAGTGTTTTAAAATACTAAATGCTTGAATGGGTTTTAAACATATGACTTTACGCATATCAAACATTACAATCATGTTGAAAAAATTTCGAAGTAGGTAAAAGTCATATTATTAATATTAATATAAATGAGACGGGGACACTCGTGACGCTTTTTATTAAAGATAGTTTCTTTCCGAATGTTTTGGTTCAACGAACTTCCAGTTATTTCGTGTAGTCTTAGAAAGTACTATGAATCTCTTTATCAATTTGTAAGTTATTTTAGTTGTGGATAAAACCAACCTGATGGTTCAACTCATTTTTAAAGTTTATTCTATTATTGTTCTTTTACACTACTGTCCAAGTTAAGGGAGGAGGGGGAGGAGGAGGAGGAGGAGGAGGAGGAGGAGGAGAAGGAGGAGGAGGAGGAGGAGGATTTATTCGATATGAGTATTTACCATACTCTGTACTAGAAAGAATGCTATGTCGGATTTTTAACGTGCGAGTTCACAAGGTAACAGTCCACAGGAAGGTATATCACCCGACCCTATACATTATTCTGACTCCGAGTTGACCAGTTTTTTATCTGACTTCTTAATACAGCCTGCTTAGCGGAGAAGAAACAAATGCCCATTTTAAAGTATTGGTTTGACCCGGCGGGGTTCGAACCTACGACATCGAGCACTCGATGAGAGCACGCAACCAAGAAATCATCGAAGCGGACCAAAGTTAGAAGAGGTTGCCCCTTTAGTCCAGTCGTTGTCGTTGGTTGTCGTCTTCTATAATTGTCTTTCGTTTAAGTTAGACCCTTAGTTTTCTATTTTGAATGTTTCACAATTGTTGTTTCCAAGAGCCTGACTGTATGTTATTGGTATTATTATATTGTTGTAGTACCGATCTGATGGGATAACCCCTTTCAAACTATTTTTTCAGTTTGTTCTTACGGTGTCCCAGATTAGGGAATAGTGGAACGCTCACAAACATGTTTAACCCAGCCACATTATTTGTGTGCCAGTCTACAAACCATAAACAGTGGTTGTCCTTGGCTTATATCTCAAAAACTAAAGCATTTAGAGCAAATCTGACAGGGTTAAAATGTTCATTAGGTCAAGTTCTATCAGCCCTGAAATTTTCAGATGAATCTAACAATCCATTGTTGTTTTGCTGCCACTAAATTGCTAATTTTAAGGAAATTTTGCAGTTTTTGGTTATTATCTTGAATATTATTATAGATAAAGATAAACTGTAAACAGCAAAAATGTTCAGCAAAGTAAGATCTACAAAATCAGTTTTATAGGACCAAAATTGTCAATTGACCCCTTAAGGAGTTATTGCCCTTTAAAGACAATTTTTCACAATTTGTTCATCTAGTTTGCTTACTTTAAAAAATCTTCTCCTTTGAAACTGCTGAATCAATTTCAGCCAAACTTGGGCTGAATGAGTTTTAGAGTATCTAGTATAAATTTGTATTTCATTTCCTTGCACGTCAAGAAACATAGCCACTATGGCTAAAATGGAACATAGGGGTAAAATAAGAACATTTAAATGGCATTTTTAAGCCACTCATTAATATATATTGAAAAGCAAAAAATAATCATTGATGAAAGATTTAAGCAAAAAATTACAGGTGAGCGATTCAGACTCTTGAGAGCCTCTTGTTATATTTTAAAATGAATAATATACACATATTATTGTTTATAATCATGGAGAATGCAAATTCATTTTTCATATTGCTGCGCATATTAACCAATATGATTGCAAGATTCTTGCTTCATAAGAATTTATACCTTATATAATTATTTGTTGAAAACTATTACTATATAAGACTCTTTCACCTTTGGCATCAATTAGAACTAACGCTTTTCATTTTGTGCATTTTCTTAAACGAAAAAACAACCTTATTTACACCAAACCAACTAATTATTTTTTATTCAGACATGCATGCGTAATCAACAAACACCACAAAACGAACTCTGCTAAATTATTATTGATGCCATGTTGTTCTAGAAGAGTCGGGATATACTGCTCTGTAACTGTTCTATTTCCGATTGTTAAAGCCTAGTCAAATGTGGATTTAAAACGTAACTTATTACGATCCATCATAATTTGTCTGAAACCAATTCCATAGCTGATAAAGACGTGACTGTATAAATACAAGATACTGAGGCCATTTTGATGTACACAATTTGCATGTTGAAAATCGCTTTCTCCTTTAAATTCAAAATGTTTGACATGAAAAAATGTGAAACAATTCAAACCAAAAAACCGACGGCGTGATTTATGACAAAATGATGCACATATATATGACAGACAGTAACCAAGGTCAACCACTAAATAACAGGCTCCTGACTTAGGACTGCCTGATATCTTTGATGAGGTTTTTATAAAGACAAAAGGCACAAAGTACCGATCTAATACTACTCTCAGTTTTTGAAAGCTTGTTCACATCCAATAACAACTAATGAATAAATCATGTTCTCCCAGACCAAATGACTTGAGAGAGAAATACTGCATTTATTTGTCTGTCTGTAATGTTTTACGGAACTATAAATGAAACGCTAATTTGATCAAGCTGTTTCAAATCCTTTCTGGAATATTTTTATACCCAATTGTTTATAGCGATCTTACACAAATATATATGCATTAAAGTCATACATCAACTGAGAGACAAAATGGCGAAATGAAACTATTTGAAAATCTGCATTTTTCTTACCACACATTTGTTCTTGTCATAGATGGTTAGATGATAAATCTAAAGAAAGGAGTTACTAGCTCTGTGCGTTTACTGCGGATTCAAAAATTGGTGAGTTTCTAGGCTTCATATGTAATAAATTTGAAAACCAAAATCATCTCAAAAATACTCAACCGGATGAAGACCACAATTACAGAAAGTTTTCTTATGTGGTACAAAGTTCTAGTCGATTGTTATTTCGTTACGTAAAATTATCTGACCAATATTGGGAAAAGTGTAGAAATTAATTTCGCGAAAACCGCTCAATCAGTTGGTAGTAGAAGTTAAATATTCAGACTTTTCCTTCAACGATTGGTACTTACCTTCACATATTAGTTTACTGTCGATTGGCAAAGAAACAATATTTAAGATCCATGTTCGCATGCAGACAAACTCTCTGTAGTTTTGAGGTTGAAGAAAAGTATAACAAAAATACCGAAATCCAAGGAAATTTAAAACGGGGAATTCCATTAAAACTGATAAAATTAAACGCTATCAATCAACGGAACAATTGAAAACAACTGCCATATTCCTGACTGGGTACAGACATTTTCCGAAGAAAATGGTGGGTTGCAGATTATTGCGCCAGAATTTTTACAAATTTGAAATATTTTTTAATAAAATATAGAAGATAGCTAACTTTTCAGTACACAATATCTAAGATTTATCGGTTTCAATGTATTATACCAATGAAAATTGAAAGGACATATAAATTATATAAACTTGTACACGTGATGTTTTTTTCCTGCATATCTTGTATACAAGAGCACCTCATAATCTTTTATGTGAACAGATGTACATAAATCAAACGAAAAAACAAACCAATTTTGTATTGCCAAATTTGGCGCCCCTAAAGGCAGTTTTATAAAAAGACTGAAAAAAAAAGTTTAAACAAGTATAAAGAATGATGAACATATGCATTGTTAAGAATAACATTTTATGATATACTTGTGTTTTCGGGTAAATTTGTGAGCAATTTAAACGCGATACGTACCGATTATCAGGTTGTCTGCAGATTGAAATTGTAAAATATTTGTCGATTGAGCGCAGCGATTGAGTTCTAAAAATCTTCATATTGTGTCGAGCAGCTGATATTTTACAATATAAATATGCAGACAACCAGATAATCGCTTTATCGGGTTGTATTTGCGTATTTTTCATGATAGAAACAAGTCGGTTTTTTTTTTTTTTTTGTTTCACCAGCAAACCGGAAGATGACTTGATAATTTCTGGTCAAACTTATCAACGTCGGTTCATTCATTATGACGTCGGTGATATGTCCGGGTCTAAGTTATTAAGGCCGGGTAAACGTATTTGACGTCAAAAAGTCGTGATATGCAATTTTATCATATACTTGTAGAAAATAATAGTATAATTGTATCCCTTGATAAAATTTATTTGTACATATATTTATTCATTAAATTTGAAGAATTGTCTTAGCCGTGTGATATGACTTTCGTTATCAACTGCTTCCGGTATATATCAACTGCTTCCGGTTTATATCAACTGCTTCCGGTAATTATCGCATGCCTTTCTTTAACGTTATCGCAAAAAAGTATTTCGACGTCATTCTGCAAATTGCGGAAAATAAACCTCAGTGGTACATTTTAGTGAAAAAAATAACTAAGTAGAATAAAAGACCGAATATTAGAAAACAGGAAAATGTATTATTAAACAATGCAAAACAAATATTATACAATAAATGAATTTTATAAAGTTTTAAAAAAGTTTTTCTTGTCTGTATGGCTTCTGCTGAAGTATATGATAAAAAGAACATAACATGTCATTTTTCATATCAGACCCCTTATCAGCCTATGGTCAAAATCATCCCTCGAGCCTGTCGGCTCTCGGGCTGATATTATGACCTAGGGCTGATAAGGGGTCTGATATGAACAATGCCATGTTACAATCTATATTTATTAAGAGCTAAGCAGAGTGATACAGACAGAGGGACGAACGATGAAATAAAATATAATAATCGTTTAAGCTGTATTATATAAACTCATGTATATCGAAATAACTACAATGCAAACAATGTTACTGCTTTGATGTTAAGTAATTGTTTACCATATAGCAATAATTTAATTTTGGGTGTAACGCGTCTTCTGATTGGCTGACGTTGTTTTGTTTATCAGCTCATAAACATAATTTTGTCATGTGACCGTGACGTCATCAACGTTTTTTCATGGTTTACTCCGATTTAAAATGGAATTTAGAATTAAATTATAAGAAATGACTGTAATATTTTTTCTGTCTATTCGAAATAACATAAAAAATGTGGTGCAAACTTTAAAATAACCCGCTACGCGGGTTATTCAGTGTGCACCACATTTTCAATATTACAGTCATTCCTTAAATATTATAGTTTTACATCATATTTTGTCTATTTTCGGGAATTCAAAGTTAAGCATAATAAGTTTAACTAACAATCTAAAAGTAGAGCGTCTTTATATTCTGTTTTTATTATTTATTCCCTTCATCAGGAGGTGTCACTCTCCTTTTGTTCACGACGGCATACGTTGCACTTGTAGAAGCTGTTTCTATATTTTTGACAGAGCTATTTGTTTTATGACTTTTATCAACAACTGCATACACACAACCACTTTCTGTAGGGGCATTTATATGTTCAACGCCATTATCTTCATTGACTTCTACAGCAGTATTGGTGACTTGATGTGTATATAGACTTGAATCTTGAATGTTTTTGTTGTCGTCAACTGTACTATAATCACCATCGTCTTCACCACTTATATGTCTAGGTATATCTCCATCTGCAGTAGAATAATTAACATCGATATCGGCATGCCGTTCGGACGAGACATACAGCACATTGTATTTCAGACCATCGTCGTCATCGCTGTCGGCGGCAGAGGAAGCTCTGGGGTTTGCACTGTTTTCCCCTTTATCAGAATGATGCGACTTTCTCCTGTAAGTGTATAATATATTGTGTACGTTTGAATAACAGAGTCGAAATCACAATTATTTCATATTTTTGTTCTCAATGTCAAATGGTTTTCAGTGGCGGATCCAGGATACGCCCCCCCCCCCCCTTTATTTTGATCGCTTAAAATTAAAAAAAATAATGTTTCTCACGATTATAGCAAATACTTTTTTTTTGCAAATATCGTTCAAAAGATTTTTAACCTAACTCCGCTCGGCCGTTTCTATTACGTTCTATGGAATTACGCCCCCTTTTAAAATCCTGGATCCGCACATGGTTTTTATACTTCTAATTTGATGAAACAATTCAATTGTATATCAAACAGAGCTATCATTTTTGCTTTGACTTGAATATAATCCATCAGCAATGTAAAAATGTAATGAGTTGTCGGAGGCGATACAATGCAGGCGGTGTTGTCGTTGGCGCATCTATAGCATGAGTTCGCGTTAAGTATGGTTACACATACCTTTTACGAACTAATTTTGAAAATGTTTGCACAACTCGTATAAAATTAGAAAACAATAGTATTAGTTAAATGTAAAATCAATAGCAAAATGAAATACATTAACTTTGTGATATAATACTACTGACATATAACTTTATTGTTCAGTCTTTAGTTTTTTTATGTTGTGTTTTGTATACTGTTTTTTGTCTTTTTGTCGTTTTTAGTTTTTTGCCATGACATTGTAAGTTTGTTTTCTACTAATGAGTTTGAATGTCCCTTTAGTTTCTTTCGCCTCCTTTTTTTTTATCACTAAGTTTTCTCTAATAAACATTTTTCAGATTTTGTTTTTTAAAACTAATTTGGTTATTTTATTGCTAAAAATTACAATTCTAGAAAATAAAATTTATAGAATTAAATCGAAAGTTTAAAGTTTCTTTTTGAGTCTTATTTCTCAAGTATAAGCACAGTAATCTAGGAAAACGTGCAATGAGTTGTCAAACCCGTAGCCTAAAACATATAGGTGTCTTTACAATATGTAAAGGACTTAAGCAACCTAAAGTCATTAAATTTCAATATCAAATATTTGCTGCTAACACTAAAATAATATGCAAAAATCAAACTAATTTCCAGTGCACTTAAGTAGACTAAGATTCACTTAGAAATGTACTTTTTGATAAATACTGAAAACATCAGAATTGTATATATTCCTAGTCACTGGAAAGCTAAATACAAGTTACAGATTTCTGACAAACCAGGAAAATTTTAAAAAGCCTGGCCTGTGACAGTTTACACATATTGAAATTAAAAAACTATTGATCTATACAGAGCTAATATTAACAACGAAATGAAGAATGTACCTTTGAACTATAATAATGTGAAAAGGAGGAGTTAGCATGGACCTCTAATTGTAAATTGGGAACAATTTAAATCCTAATTAACGTTGTTTTTTTTTTTTGCAATATACTATCACATTAAGAAATAAGCCTATTCGGGAAGAAAACAAAATATTTGCAGAATAGCGAAAGAAATCCTTTTCATGCTTCAAGAATATATCTGTCTTTAGAAATGTAAAAACGAAAAATCCTAGCATTATCGGGCAAATTATGGACTGGAGTATATTGCCCTTAAATACAAACGGAAGAGCCACTTTTATCATAAAAGCAATTTTCTCACCATTTAGATATTTGTGTTGAAGTACAGAATGTATAGGCCACATTCCAACTCTTGCTCAAGTATGAATTTCGGCACAGAATATAAGTTTCTACTTTAATATCTTGATTGTATAAAATAAACATGTTTTCCTTATTCAGTACAATTAATACATGTACCTTTTGCATAACACAATCAGAACTAGTAATGTTACAAATAGAACAAACCCACCACCTGCTCCAATAGCTATATAAAGTGTACTGTCACCTATAAAAGATATCAAAAGACTGGCTGAAAATTGTTTATACAAGATACAGTATGCTAAGTGTAATTCCAATGAAACACCATCCCCCAAACAAAAATTGATATAAAACAACCAATTGTCACCGACATAACGTTTTGTTCTGAGGACACATTTAATTTGACAATATTTGGTGAAAATGTGTGTATTTCTTTATTTTAAGTGGTTACTCTTTATAAGATCCTATGTATAATGTTGCTTATAGATCACAAATGTTTATACGGTTGCAAGTAGTACAATTTTTCCCTTTGTACTACAATACCAGAGTTTTTGCTAATTGCATGCATGACGTTTTGAAACGTTAGTTTAGATATAAGTGTATCTGTTTGCAAGTCCAAAAGGTTTAACTGAGATGAATGTAGCTATCACGCACGTCTTTCTCTCTTATTGGCTATGCTACCAAACTTTTATGGTTATGTGTATTACTTTGTCTTTGATCAGTCTATTGATTTAATACCATATCAAGCAAACGATACTTAATAATTTCAAATTAAATTAAGAAAACTGATAATTGATTTATCTGTTTATGCCGGCGCGGTTATCGTGATTACAGCTATATGTTTCGTATGTCTTCCTAACTTATCAGAAATGAAATCTTTTTTAATTTATTATGAACAGTTCTCCTCTTCTTTCTTGTCAACTATTTCTTGATTCGTATGAAGCAAAATGGATTCAGACGTTCTTCAGTAGAACGTCGATAGAAAGGGAACTGGCACTATGCTTTAACTATGATGAATCGTTTAACCCAAACCCTTGATTTATATGGGGTTAGTGTGATCAATTTTTTTTTATGTGTGGCATTGTGAAATTGTTAGTTTTATTGTTTTTTGTTTTCGTTTGACCCTATTTCTAAATTATTTCCTTTATGATATTCATATTTTTGTTTCTTAAACCAGCTTAAACAGTTTGACGTCGAACTGTGACAAGAATATTGCCAGATAATCAAACATATTTTTAAAACATCATAAAGAAGTAACGTCGAATTTAACGAAGAACCGAACATTGAGAAATATTCTCTAAGTCATTACTTACCATCAGAATTAGTCTTGTCATTTATGTTGGATGTATTAATCATAGGCGTAGGAGATGACATAAATGATGTTATTTGTTCCGAAGTTTTGAAATCGTTGTGAGTTGTCTGAGTCTGGGTTGGTATATCGCTGAGACTAGCCTGAGGGTGAGTTGTTATATCGCTGAAAGTTGTCTGAGGGTTTGTTGATGTATCGCTGAAAGTTGTCTGAGCGTGTATTGGTGTATCTATTGTAGTCGCAAGTGCCTGATTACCGCACGATATTTCTAGAGAACTAACTTCTTGGCCTGCGTTGTGATCTGTAGGTTGGACATTAATTATGAACTAAGATGTGCAAAGAAAAATGAACAAATATAAAGAGGTTGCAAAAATTCCTATATCAATGAAGGACAAGGAACTTCATCACAAATAAGACGACAAAATCATCAGTATAGTCCCTGTATACAAACAAACAGCTGGACACTATGACCTGTGTCTCAAATTTTTAAATTTTTGCCATAAAATATAAATAGAAAAAAAAATTGAAATGAAAGCATCAGTCTATTTCGAAGACCCTGCTTAAGGTTGGATAAGCTAGTCCTAACGAAAATATATACGGAGTGTTACAGGTTTTAGTTTTGCATGTTGTGCTTTGTGTACTGTTGTTAGTCTTTTCGTCGTTTTTCGTTTTTTGTCAGTCTGCTTTCGACTACCGGTATGACTTTGAATATCCCTTTGGTATCTTTCGCCTCCCTTTCATAAGATTTTCATTAAACAATAAATATGAAATTTAGGACCTAGCCACACGAACTCCTCCAAACAACGCGTTGAAATCAAATTATCACCAAGGTAATGCTTTAACCTATTTAACCCCGCCACATTATGTATGTGCCTGTCCAAAGTCAGGAGCCTCTGTTTCAGTGGTTGCCGTTAGCTGCTGTGTAACATATTTGTTTTCCGTTCATCATTTTATACATAAATTAGGCCGTTAGTTTTCTCGTTTGAATTGTTTTGCATTTATTAATTTGATATAACAAAATATAAATTTTATATTATTTTTATTTAGGAGATCTTTGCATGGATTCGGTTTCATCCTTCTCTATTTGACATAAAGGATATATAATAAGTGAAATGCTAAAACTGCTTAATATTTTTTTATTTTTTTTTTTTGCGTCGCTCATGATCCGCGATCTTTAACCTATTAAGCTGCTCAGATGACAGAAATTAAAACTCCAGATGTATATATCCGAGCATCACGTGACGACACAATCGTTCTTGGTCTCGCGCGTGGGTCTTTATTTTGAATAAACATTTTCCAATCAAAAATAGATATTGAAACAAATTGGTAAAGAAAAATGCAAGGATGAATTTAAGGATGTTTAATAAATCCTTGCATTTTCTTATTGAAATTTATAAAGGAACATGCCAGGGTATTTTAAGAAGGGGAAGCATTTCTTTTATCGTTGCAAGTTCCTATGTTCCGCGATCTTTAACCTATAAATAAACAGTTATTTAGCTGCTCAGATTTTACAAGTATGATCTGTTCAACAGAAATTAAAACTCCAGATGTATCTATCCGAGCATCACGTGACGACACAATCGTACTAGATCTCGCGCGTGAGTCTTTATTTAGAATAAAAAATTTCCAATCAAAAATAGATGAATTTAAGGATGTTTAATAAATCCTTGCATTTTCTTATTGAAATTTATAAAGGAACATGCCAGGGTATTTTAAGAAAGGGAAGCATTTCTTTTATCGTTGCAAGTTCCTATGTTCCTAGAAACACCAATATATATATCAATATAACTATTCATTTCTGTCTGACCTGAAAATGTTTAATATCAATTTATCAAAGATGCCCCCTTTTCCTCACTTATATTCGTTCGTTCTAATACACCTGGTCCCTTGCATGTACAACATAGAGAATCTAGTCCCCAAAACTGCTTCAAATAAAGGATAAAAGGGGATATTGCAGAAACATTAAACCTGTTAACAGAATTTTGAATATGCATTAGATATTTGTCACTTGACGTAAGATAAACTATCAATAAATGCGCCTTTTTGGGTTACGCAAACTTTTAATCAATCACTATTATGATTAAAAAATCATATTATTGGTAGATCAATTCACAATTCGTTATATCAATTTGAAAATCTGTTATATCAAATTAATAATTGGTTTCATCAAATCAATAATTTGTTATATCAAATTGATAATCTGTTTTATCAAATTAAAAATTTGTTATATCAAATTGGAAAAAGTAAATTGGCATGGCCCTAAAAGGCTTCCGTAGAAAAAGCAAAACTTATTAAAAAAACACAGAACTTTAAACCAAAAAGGACAACAAGTATAACTAAATCCGACCAAGGAATCAGAGCTTTGCATGGGCTGATTTATTCCTCAATTCAAAATAATTTCCCAAATAATGTAACAGCAAATTGTAATAACACAATGTCAAATAACCGTTTTTGTACTGATATTATACGGCATTACAGGTTAAGATTTTTAATTTGATATAAAATGACAAATGAGATAGGTTTTGGCCAATTTTATATTTTATCCGTCAAAAAATAAGATTTTAAGAAGTTCATACCCTACAACCAGTGAATACATATAGTGAAATATCAGTTTTAAAGAATTGATTAAATTCATTTCTGCTTCTGTTGTCGTTTGGTGAAAACTTGCTCACTATAATAAATATGTGAGAGAAAGGAATGCAGTGGAAATTTGCCATACGTACGTTTTGGGAAAATTAATTTTAATAAATGAAGTGTTTGGTAATCTAAATGTTATTTAATCACTACTGATAAATGGAAAGTTATACGGTATATGTCAATATTGTTAAACATAGATCGTGATCTTTCGAAAAATCAAGAATTCGGCATCTTTTAAAAAAATTAGTGTAGTCAATGCTTATACACTTTGTTTAAAAACTGATCAATGTAACAGTTATTATTGATATTTATGAGACTTTTAAAGATCTTCATAAATTTACAAGACAAATTTGTTGTCTTAATGTCAAATGATGCAATTCAACCATTTGTAGCAAAAACATCACATTTTTTATCGAAGAAGGTATTTTGTGTTATGATGTGTTTAATGCATAAGTTTAAATTGTTTTATAGTTATGTTATTTTTGGATGGGTACCAATATTTTAATTGTTATATTTAATTTGTAATTGCATATCATGTAATTATGTATTTATTGTGTTTTATATTGGTATGTGACACTATAATAAATTATTCTGATTCTGATTCTGATTATTATTGTAATTACTTGCATCAGAATGATCACTAAAGTAACGAACCTCTGGTTATCTGTATGCAGTATCCGACTGATAATTGTACGTCTACTACTCTGGATGTGAACTGTATATATTCATTTCTTAATAATGAAAACACTTGTGTTTGCTCTGTACTGCTACAATTAATAGGGAAGTTTTCAGGTAGTATACTATCGTTTGGTCTAATGTGATAAATATCTATTACCACCCCACACAAAGACTGCTCGGTGAAGTTGTTTAGTCGTTTGATAAACAGGTTTACAAAGCTGTTTGTATTCTTTACCGAGACAGAACAAGAACAATTATTTTCATGCTCTATTAAAGAAAGAAATACACCGTCAAAGGTAGCATTGCCATCTTCATCTTCCTCCACCACTGATGTTGATTGGCACATTTTCGCCACTGCAATTAGATATACATACTAGTATGTATAAAGAAAAATTTAAATCTACACTTATAAATCTGCCATTTTTATCTTGTATTTTCTTTTACCTTCAGATTTTTTTTAAATGAAACTAAGATTACAGTGTTCCACAAGATGGCGGAAAGGTAATTATGACAGAAAATTAAATAGCTACATTTCATATATATCTTGCTTTAAGTATTTTTCTTTATCTTATAGTTGTTATAGTTGTTAATATTGAACTACAGTTGATAAAGCAATTAAAACAACACCGCCAGAAACATCAAAACATTATGATAATATAAAATGTGCCTTGTGTTGTAGAAGTAACGTGCTTATTCATATTTTTGTTTATAGTCCACACCAGCTTTTGAACCAAACAAATAAATCAAACTTTTCAAAAAGTGTTTTTTGGAGCTTATTCGTTATCAAAATTGTTCATGCCAAGGTTGATCTGCTAAACTCTAAAAGTCCTTTAATTCACTATATATATATATATATATGTTTGTTTAATAGAAAATCAAAGGATATGGGGTATCCATTTATGATACAAAATCAGTACATGCACAACAAAAAAACACACAAAAAGCGAAGGAACAGCGCTTTTATTGCTTTTCTTCATCTCAAAGTCACAGTGAGGACTTCATCACGGAGAAAAAAAACTCTCACCTCACTGCAAGTTTCAATAATTGTTTTTTTGTTTGTTTCTATATACATGTAGTTTACCTCTCGTAGGTGTTGTTTTGTCATTATTGTTGCAAGTATCAATCACACATTCTGAAACTTAGAAAAACATAAAACTATTATGATCCTACATCAACAAAAGAATACAATTCTTCTAAAATTCACTTTCCTATGTACTAAATTCATTTTCAATGTAGATTAAGTTTCTTTTGAATATGGAAATTGTAAAGGATATCTCATTGCAATAGACTTTCAAGTGGATTAGTTTAAAATCCGTGATTTTTAGAATTGACCAAATTTTCGCAAGAGGACACAATACCCATATAAAAGCGGTTCAGCGCATGCATTTTTTGTAAAACATAATATATATCTAGTGCCATTATTTGAGGTTTAAATGAAGGTGTTTTTTCACCTTTTCTGTTTGCCTGACGCTTACTTATTAAACAAAAAAACTGTGACATATTTCAGAACTCAGAATTTTAATATCAGTTGAAGGTTTCGGCCTTAATATCCATCTGAAGCACCTAACACCAGCCCTGGATATGAATTAGTGTGTGTTGTTAATTTTTCACTTTACATTTTTTCTGATTATTAATTTTGTAGTCTCCTTGTCAGTTCCAGAAATTCAGGATATTGACATCGCTATTATAATACTTTATTAAGTGGCTTACTAGTGAGTCGTGATCAACAGAAACGTAACTCTTCGTATATGTAAGAGAATGATAATCCCTTTCTTCATGATTAAGTACGAGCGTTAGCGAGTACTTATCATGAAGTAAGGGATTATCATTCTCTTACAAACTTAGAATATTGTAAAGTGCTCAAGGCTCAAATGATCTATTCAAAAATTAGTTTCATTGTCAGTGCAATGTTTATAATTTGATGCATGACTTCCTTTTTGGGCATGTCATTTATGGATTAGTTTTAGTGATGTAAGGACTTTCATATCATTTGGGAAATATTTTTTTTTTTAAAAGCGTTATAGATATTAGGTGACACAACAGTAGAAAGAGAAGGTAGGAATTGGATATGTTTCTTGATTTTGAGTATGAATGTAAATCATGTAATATTTTAGTGAGGAATTATCCTTTTTTTTTATTTACAGTTTAAATCAATTTAATACATTTGAGTTACAACTAAATTTTATTTCACAGCCAATATTTTGGTCCGGCTTTTTACATCAAATAATATTTCATTATTTCAGGGAAATGTTCAAAAATAATGCCTTTAAAAGTTTTTAATATGTTCAAAATTAAATTCCTGTTTTTTTTTTATCAGAATATTGGAAATAACTATTCTTCCCAACCACTGATCAAGTAATCAAAGTTTTGGAAAGCTATAGATTTAGGTTATTTTTTTATCTGAAGGTTTTTTTTTCTTTTTTTTTTTCTTTGCTTTGGTATTGTTTAATTTTCTAGTAATTTGAAGTTATTAATATTTTCATAATAACATTCACGGTACCAATTTTACTGCACCAGTAAACTTCCAACTTATTTTGAGATTTGTGTTTGTTTCACAATTCAACTTTTAGTCAGTTTCAATCACTGTGTGATAAATCCTTCCAATCTGATAAATGTGCTTCAGGGCAGTTGTAACTCATTTATAGAAACTCTTTGTATTGAACTGTAAATAGACCCAAATAATAGGATAATCCCTTACTAAGAACATGATTTACATTCATTCTTCACAATTAAGAGGCATCCAATCCTACAATTTCATTGGTCGAGAGCACTTTGCTATATTCTAAAAACGATTAAGGTATACAAATCAAGAAAACTATTTTCGTTCCAATATTTCACCTTATGTGGTAAATGAGGATTGGAAATTTACATAAACCATTTATTTCTAAATTTGGTAAAGTCTGAGGTTAAGACAAGTGTCAGAATTAAGTTTAATGGTTTATCTATTGACAAAGATGTCATTTACATTGTTTGAATATGCTGGCATTGCCAAAAAATATTTAAATGCCAAATTCGTCACGGTTCGACCTTGCTTGAAGGAGTTATTTCCATTTAATTAAAGGGGAGAAAAATACCAAAAGGGGGGGGGGGTCAAAAACATAAGTCGAAGAAAATGAAAACACCATTGCCAAATGAAGAAAGTCGAATAGACAAACAACAGTGCACCAAACAAAACTTATTAGAAGAAATAAAATGGGATTATAAACACATCAAAGGCTGTCTATGATACAGATATTATTTAATATTCATTCAAATCGTCCTTATACTGTCAAATAAATAACTAAAACTGTACCAATAAATACCATAGTTTCATTAGCTTCCAAGCTTTATGTAACTCATGATTTCATTTAATTATATAATTCGATTCTTATTGAAAATATTCATTTCAACAGTATTTCCCATTATTTTCATGTCGACATAAACAAGAGGCTTCTGAATCACTCGCCTGACAAAAGTATTCCAAATTGATATTATTTTTTTATTTATCTTAATCCAAATCCTCTATTTCGAAACAAATTACTTATTCCTAGGAAAATACACTTTTTGAGTGCATCCAAGTTAAATCAAAGGTCAGTGGGTGATTTTCTCCAGTACCAGGATCTCATTGTTATTAACCTAATATAAAGAATTAGGATAAAAGAATATTTTTAAAGAAAGTTTCCATAGCATCCCCTTGTTCACACCCCTCCTTACATCAAATGGCCTTCACTAAAACGTCATTACAATATTAATGACCAGTGAAATAATTTGTACAGCTCCCACAATCACTTCTACTCTATCTATATAGTTTTTAAGATAAAATCACAATTAAGGGAAAAACTTCGTCAAACAGCCAATAACAGTTGGTACGTACAATTTATTTGTATATCTTGCTTTTCAGTAGTTGGTCAATACAAAAGTAATCTGAAATTTTCATATAGCTGTTTTGTAAATTATCATTCTGTGCATGTTTTATCTCTTTTAGATTTTCTCTTTTGGAGTGTTCGGGATATCAGACGATTTCTTGTAATTTACCTTATTTTCTTTAGCTATGCAGGGCATGCTGGTGGGTTTGTGGGACAAAAACACAATTAATGGCAATAGCTCACATTACATATTGGACTAAGTGAGCTATAGAAACGAAAGGGTGTGTTCCTAAAAAAAAGCTTGTGTCTTTTCTCAAAGTCAGGAACTTCGTCTGAAATAATTCACAGCTTATATAGATGGCAAAACACTTGTTAGCAGTTAAACAATTGTTGCCGAGAAGGTATCTTTTTCCATTTTTTTATCTTCTATTTTGCTTTATTGCGTTTAGGGTAAATAACTCACAGATGAATGCCACAAAGTTCTTTATATTTCTAATACATGTATATGTAATTATCTGTTAATTCACGTATTCGCTAATGCTAATGTTAATAGATATGGTCGGAAAGTTATGGACACTTATATAAAAATAAGAAGACGTGTTATGATTGCAAATGAGACAATTAGCCACCAAAGTCCAAAATGAAGTCGATGTAAGCAGTTATAGGCAACCGTACGGCCTTTGACAATGAGAAAAACGTGTACCGTATAGTCGGCTATAAAAGTCTCCGACATGAAAAATATGAAACAATTTAATAGAGAAAACTAACGGCCTAATTTATAACAAAACAATTTACGAAAAACAAATATGACTTAGACTGACACCCATACCCTACGCTGACTTAGAGAAATAGAGGGAGCGTACCTAAATTTTAAAATATACTGAATAAATATTTATAGGATTTCAATTTAAACACGTCCTAAAAACAGTTTCAAAAACGTTTAAGTTATATTCAAAACCCTTTTTTTTTTTTTGTTTGGTGGAAAAGGAAAAATTGTTGATTCCGTATAAGGATATAACTTCGATTTTCCATCTTTTATTTTTTCTGGTAAAAGTATCGTTCTTTTTGTTTTGTTTTGTTTTTTTATTTTTCTATAGGATGATAAACGAATGTTTTAATTACAACTGTTTACTAAGTAATGCTTGCGTATGTACTAAACTTTTGAACTTTTTTTTACCAAGATTAACGCTTTTACGATTCTCAAACACACAACGAAATATTACATCGAATAAGTGTAGTATTGTGTGTAAACCTTTGAACACGACTTAATTAGCGACCATCATTAGCATGTATTTGAATGTCAAGCTGCATACTTATTTTTCCCAGTGTTACCTTATTTTTTTAAGCATATGTCCATATAAAAATCAGGCAAAAAAAAAAGAGTTGAAAAACATAATCAATAATATTTTATAAATTTGGTTTGTCCGAAGTGCTTTTTTAGTTTACCTTCATCATTGATGTTGAAAACCAAATCATAAAAAAAGCCATTGATGCAAAGTATATTATAATAAATAGACAGACAGTGCATTACAATTCAACAGTCACCTCAACAATATTTTTACGTTGAAATATGCATCACCTTTGTCAATATACCTGAGCGCAATTTGACGATAAACCTTGTAGACTGTTAGATAACATAACATTAATACCCGTATTTTCCCAGAATGAACATGAAAAATGCAGGACATTTGCAATACACATCGTAAAATCATGGTTTCTGCCTTTGACAATTTTTGGTTCGTATTTTCAAATCCCAAGAGAAATAAACTGACGCCTTTTCGGTGAGGGTGTTAACTGTTGGATGGCAAGGTCCGGGTAATATAACCACTATTTTAAAAGAATCCTTACTATGCAGGAGTTGTGTTCAGGTAATTATAAATAAGAAGATGAAACAACTCTCCATGTAAGTCACAATGTATAAAAAGTTAACAATTATAGGTCAAAGTACGGCCTTCAACACAGAGCATTGGCTCACACCGAACAGCATGCCATAAAGGGACCCAAAATGACTAGTGTAAAACAATTCAAACAGGAAAACCAACGGTCTAATCTATATAAAAAACGAGAAACGAGAAACACTTATGAACACAACCACTGAACAACAGGCCTCTGACTAAGGACAGGTGCAGAAAAATGCAGCGGGTTTAAACGTTTTAAATTGCGAATGGTTCTTATTTAATGATATACTTTATAATGTAAATTACAGTGTGTAAACGGGTTTTAGCTGCTCGATGTATACACTTTATAGTATCTAAAAATACATGTTACTGGAAATTTGCAGTCATTGCAGAAATAGCATAAAATAAAATGTTTGATATAAATACTTCTAAATCAAAATATATATATATATATATATATATATATGGCAATCGCCAAAGGCAGTCAGCAGGATTTAAGAACATCCGTTGTCCGACCTGCTAGTCAAATGCGTTTTGTTAAAATATACTTTTTCACTTTTTTGGTCTTTTGGAAAATGTTGTTTGTGCTGTATTTAGACCCCTCTACCAAGAAATTTTTTTTGCATGTACACGTATAAAAAATGCGGTTTTTGTCCAACGCAATCATAGGTTTGAACGTTGTTTTTAATTTAGACTTGTTTATATTTTTTGGTTTGAGCTTGTATTTTATTTGCCTTCGGGTTTGTATGATTCATTCACCCTATTTCGACTCTTCAAAATTCAAGAGTCTATCCTAAATTGAGGTAAATTATATGGTCTTCCAAATACCGTTTCGATTTCTAACATTACTGAAGAGACATTAATTGTCGAAATCCGGATATGGTGTACTAATTTTTGCACCTTTTTTTTGCGGTTTACCATCTTTTCCGCAAGTTTATTGTTTTCTGTTTGATACTAGATTAATAGTTAAGATCTATTTTGTTACATCTGGTGATCCGTTTATTTGGCAATCGCCAATGGCAGTCAGCAGGATTTAAGAACATCCGTTGTTCGACCTGCTAGTCACATGCGTTTTGTTAAAATAGACTTTTTTCACTTTTTTGGTCTTTTGGAAAATGTTGTTTGTGCTGTATTTAGACCCCTCTACCAAGAAATTTGTTTTGCATGCACACGTATAAAAATTGCGGTTTTTTTTTTTCGAGCCTGCGACTTTTGTCGCAGAAAGCTCGACATAGGGATAGCGATCCGGCGGCGGCGGCGGCGGCTTAAGCTAACTTCTTAAAAGCTTTATATTTTAGAAGATGGAAGACCTGGATGCTTCATACTTTGTATATGGATGCCTCATGTTACGAAGTTTCCGTCAGTTACATGTCCAATGTCCTTGACCTCATTTTCATGGTTCAGTGACTACTTGAAAAAAAAGTTCAGATTTTTTGTAATGTTAAATTCTCTCTTATTATAAGTAATAGGATAACTATATTTGGTATGTGCGTACCTTGCAAGGTCCTCATGCCCGTCAGACAGTTTTCACTTGACCTCGACCTCATTTCATGGATCAGTGAACAAGGTTAAGTTTTCGTGGTCAAGTCCATATCTCAGATACTATAAGCAATAGGTCTAGTATATTCGGTGTATGGAAGGACTGTAAGGTGTACATGTCCAACTGGCAGGTGTCATCTGACCTTGACCTCATTTTCATGGTTCAGTGGTTATAGTTAAGTTTTTGTGTTTTGGTCTGTTTTTCTTATACTGTATGCAATAGGTCTACTATATTTGGTGTATGGAATGATTGTAAGGTGTACATGTCTAGCTGGCAGGTGTCATCTGACCTTGACCTCATTTTCATGGTTCAGTGGTCAAAGTTAAGTTTTTGAGTTTTGGTCTTTCTTTCTAATACTGCATGCAATAGGTCAGCTATATTTGGTGTATGGAATGATTGTAAGGTGTACATGTCTAGCTGGCAGGTGTCATCTTACCTTGACCTCATTTTCATGGTTCAGTGGTCAAAGTTAAGTTTTTGAGTTTTGGTCTTTTTTTCTAATACTATATGCAATAGTTCAACTATATTTGGTGTATGGAAATATTTTATGATCTATATGTCAGTCACGCAGGTTTTATTTGACCTTGACCTCATTTTCAAGGTTCATTGCTCAGTGTTAAGTTTTTGTGTTTTTGTCTGTTTTTCTTAAACTATAAGCAATAGGTCAACTATATTTGTTGTATGGAAGAATTGTTAGCTGTACATGCCTGCCTAGCATGGTTCATCTGACCTTGACCTTATTTTCATGGTTCATTGGTCAATGTTTAGTTTACTTGGTTAATGTTAAGTTTATGTGACAGTTGTAATAAAGCTTTATATTTAGGACTATCAACATAATATCAATGATTAGTAAAGAAGGCGAGACATTTCAGCGTATGCACTCTTGTTCAACACAATCATAGGTTTGAACGTTGTTTTAAATTTAGACTTGTATAAATATATATACCTATGCTGCTTGATTTGTAGTCCTAGAGTATAATTAGAATATAACAAAGTGTTCTCGACCAATGAAATTGTAGGATTTGATGTCTCCTAATTATGATGAATGAATGTAAATCATGTTCTTAGTAAGGGATTATCCTATTATATGGGTCTATTTACAGTTCAAAACAAAGAGTTTCTATAAATGAGTTACAACTGCTCCGAACCACATTTATCAGCTTGAAAGGATTTATCACACAGAAAAGAAAGTTATGCATCAATTATAAACATTGCACTGACAATGAAACAAATTCTTGAATACATCCAATCAAGAGATCATTTGAGCCAGACCATTGAGAAGCGAGTACCAACAAAAATGACTCAAGGTAGACACACTCACCCATGGATGAACACAGCAATAAGAAGTAAGATCAACCAAAAACAAAAGCGCACAAGAACGCTAGGAAAATCAAAAAGAAAAGAGACCAGGACAGATACAAGAGACTAAGACAAGAAGTACAATGGGAAGTAAGACAAGCCAATAAGAAATACATGGAAGAAGTCAGCTCCAACTACAAGAAAAACTCCAAGAAATTCTGGTCCTATATCAAAAGCAAAGGTCTGGAATGGACAGGAATAGCACCATTAAAAAACAAAAATGGGATTCCTCCAAAGCGATCATAGGTTTGAACGTTGTTTTCAATTTAGACTTGTATATATAGATATATATATATCTGTGTTTATAGCAGAATACAAATTTAATTTATTTCATACCTTTTACGATAAGCAGAATCCATTTTATCACCAAGAGAAGCATTTTACTGTCAATGTCAACAAGGAAGTACTTAACTAGTTAAACATCATGTAGGTGGTTTAAACAACTAAATGCTTGAACAAGTCTTTTCAAACAATTGACTTTTGTATTAAAATATATGACGACTTTTGTAAGAAGATGTCAAGTATATAAAATCTATGTCGGTAAAACGACTAGAATTGTAGATGAAAAGGGAACACTCGAGAAGCTGTTTTGTAAATAATTTATTTCTAAAATTTTCTTTTGTTATGTTTCTTTTTTTTTTCTTTCTTTGAGAAACCAGTATCACAAGTGCAGGTAGTATGATGTGTGTGTGTTGTACCTGCACACATACAATTATATTTACTATTATGGCTACCACAATAACTGTTATTCTTGTTAGACAATACACGTAGGTCATTTGGTTTGCGTGGAACTAACATATGTTTGTTTAAAACATGTTCATTTTAGTTTTGGAAAACATTAAAATTGAGAATGGAAATGGGGAATATGTCAAAGAGACAACAACCCGGCCAAAGAGCAGATAACAGCCGAAAGCCACCAATTGGTCTACAACGCTGCGAGCAAATCCCGCACCCGGAGGGGGTCCTCAGCTGGCCTCTAAATAAAAATGTGTACTAGTTCAGAGAAAATGGATGTCATACTAAACTCCAAAACATATAAATGAACTAAAATTAAAAAATCATACAAGACTAACAAAGGCCAGAGGCTCCTGACTTGGGACAGGCGCAAAAATGCGGCGGGGTTAAACATGTTTTGTGAGATCTCAACCCTATACCAATAGCCAATGTAGAATAAAGAAACACACAGCGATATGCACATTAAAACTCAGTTTAAAAGAAGTCCGAGTCCGATGTCAGAATAGGTAACAAAAGAAACTAAGCAAAATGACAATGATACATAAATTAACAAAGGACTACTAGCAGTTACTGACATGCCAGCTCCAGACCTCAATTAAACTGATTAAAAGATTATGTCTTCATCATATGAAAATCAAACACAATCCCTCCCGTTAGGGGTTTAGTATCATACCATCATACAATATATGAGAAGAACATAATCCGTATCATGCCAACAACTGGTTTTAGAATAAATTTGTTTATTTCCGATGCAAAGACCCTATAAGTGAATCAATATTAATACCAAAATATGCAATCCTTAATGACTTGACAACAGTATCGTAACTATATCCCTTCCGAATAAGTCTGTTTAAACCACATTCCAATGTCACAAAACGAACTCTGACAAAATTATGATTTATTCCATGTGCTCTAGAAGAGTCAGTACATACTGTTCTGCAACTGCCCTATTTCCAAGTTTTTATCCTAGTAATTTGTAATGTCCAAGTCAATCTAGGCGTCAAGAGAGAATAATTAAAACACTTCAACATTCGTATAAAAGCAATTCCATGTCTTGATAAAGTGGACAAATAATTTTAGAAATTATAAGATACCAAAGCCAAATTGATGAACCTGAACCAAATTCGCATTTCGAAAACTAGTTTCTACTCGGTCATGCCAAGTTTAAGCAAAACAATTTACATGCGAATTTTAATACTAACTTTTATTAACGAAGGATGATTCAAATTCAAAATTGATGAAAGGAAAACAACAAGAAACATATAAAAGTGAGGAGATATGATATGATTACCAATGAGAAAGCTATCTACCAGAGACGTTAGGGTGTGTATGTAAACACCTATTGAGGTATAGGTCTCAGTACAGCATTCGACAATGAGTAAAACTCATACCATGTTGTAATTAATAAAACGTCTCCAAATGACAAAAGTAAACCTACCAATTTCTTATTCTTAAATTCGCTTACACGATTTTATCTTATAAAACAACAAAGAAATACTTTACAAAATAATAAAAAATCGCATTCGTATAAATGTTTTTCAACTTTTATCATTGTTTTAAATTAGCTACTTCCCTCTATATTTAAACCTTTTCAGGAGGAAGGTCAGAAAATGAAATGCTATTTCTAAGTGTGTCGTAACCATCATCGTTTCGGGTATTAGTATTTGCTCCACAAACCAACAGTATATCAACAACATAAACTGATGGAAATTTCATCAGAGAAACATCTCCTACTTTAGATATATTGGGATCTACTGCTAAGTGTAATAATGTCTGATTAGTTATTCCCCTTGGATCAAGTTGAACCAAGTATTTAACTTGTTCTAGAAAGTCTAATCGATCATTCACGCTTCCGCCTAGAAACTGGAAAAGTCGGATTAAATGCAATGTTAACTTCATTAGATACTGAATATTCGCTTGTTAAATTATACCAATTGGGCTTATGGTGCGAATACTTTTACCACCATCAATCTGGCTAACAATCAAATTGAATACATCAAAAACATCGGTCATCTTCACCTGGAATATTAAAAAACTATTTATAAAATTTAAAAAAAAAATAGAATATAGACTTTCACATTTCTACAGTTAATAAATTGTATTGCTGTACTGTTACACAATAGTCCTAAGTTCAGCACCCCAAACATGTTAAACAAAGTAACTGTCTTTGTGTGCATGTTCCAAGCTATGATCCTATAATCCAGTTTTTGTTGTTGGTTACTGTCTGCCATAATTGTTGTTTCACATCTGGCATCAAAGGGTCTGTTATAAAAGAGATACGAAAGATACTAAAGAGATATTCAAACTCATAAGTTGAAAACAGACTGACAATGTCATGGCAATAACAAAAAAAGACGCAAGACAAACTACAAAAACCATGAAAGACAACTATAGCTAGCATTTTGTTTTTGTTCTACTCATTGTTAATAGCCGTTCTGCGACTTGAAATTTTCTTTGGTTGATTGTTGTCTCGTTGACAACCATACCACAAATCCTTATTGTTAAAAAATAAAAATAAAAATCCCTTGTAGACTTTTTCAGATATATATATATCGATGATGTTCTTTAACTAAATAATCCGAATTTCAATGAGAACTTACATTCATAACAGTGAACAAGAAAAATAGGATAGTTGTGTATGTAGGGAATGCAAAGACGACAGCAATCTAACAAAATATAAAACTAAAAAACATAATTAACAAGATCTTCTTTATATTTAGATTCCTTTTTAGAATAAAGACACATATGAACGACTCATAAATTGCTTCTACATACGTATGACAAATTGTATGATTTTATTTTTCCTGTTGTATACTTTCTTAAAATCTCCCTCTTCCGAATCCTATTTCGTTTACATAACTATCTTATTTGATAAGATATGAAAATTTAAGCTTTCTATAAAAATTATGAGTCGGGGTTTTCATTAAAAAAGGATTCTCTCGTGGTTATAAGGTAGTCATCGATATCATCAACTACACCATTACAAACTGTTTTGTAGAATCATTGTCTTCATTTTCAAGATCACTAGCATTCTTTTTACGCTATAAAAGCTTGCGACTGTGTGCATATTTTGATACCAGATTATTTGGGTTTTTTTTATTAGACAATTGCCTAATGAATTAAAGAATACAGAAATGAATTGAGACATTCCTCTCAATAATCTTTACTTTTTCCTCAATTTTGATTTGTAATATATTGTCTATATAGATAAAAAGACCTCATATAGATACTGGTTGTTTTCAAATTTCTGCAGGAAACATCCTAACAAATATGTTATACCATCGACGAACCTTCACTCACATCTACATGTATCATGCCATTTCTATTAGCTTCATTCCCATTCCCATTCTGTACCTGGTACTTTGATCTTTGAAATGACGAAATAATTTACCTGTTCCTTAATTTTCTTGTGTATCCATTTAGTTTGCATTTTACAAAAAATATCAACTAAACTTATTGCACATTTGATACTGTCGTCGTTTAAAGGATCGTCTTCTTTATATCTCAGCGTGTATGCGTATTTCCAAAGTGCCACACATCGCTGAAAGTATCCATTATCGCCATACAAAGTACCACGGAAAACGATTTGTGCAATTGTTACAGGATGATTCCCGCCATAAATTCGGAAATATTTTAACAGTGCCTGCATGTAAAGGTCATTTGGGTCAGTGAGTTGACGTAAAGAATCTATAGAAGTAATTGCAACTGCATACTGAAGTAAGATATCGGTGTCACGTTCATTACCGGATCGGTCATGCTATTAGTCACTTCAAAACGCAGCTTTAATGCTGTTTCATTAAAACACATCGTGTGACGTCATCGTCTACCAACAGAACAATCTAATAAATCAAATGCATCGCATTTTTCTTCCACTGGAAATTTATAAGTATCTAGAAAGTACTTCATAACAGACGAACTGCCTCTAATAGCAGCAATTTTAAGGGGTGTTTCTTGGTAGTTTGTTTTGGCGGTCATCGAACCTCCATTCCGACATAATAACATAACGGTTTCTAACTTAATAGCATGTGCAGCGTAATGTAAGGCCGTATATCCATCAATACTTGAAGTGTTAACACTTGCTCCTTTAGAAATAAGATATGCGCATAGTTCCGTGCTAGCTATGGTTGCCATTAAACACGAATATCCCTTTTTTGTAATCTTCCTGATGTCTGCACCATGCTCTACGAGAAATTCGACTATAGGTATATTTAGTAATTCACAGGCCGATATTAATGGCGTCGACTGTGCACTGGTAGGCCAGTTAATGTCTGCACCATGTTCAATCAGAAGTTTTATTATATCAAGCCCATTTTCAGGACCCGTAGCGCACCATAAAGGTGGAGCTTCAATATCGTTTTTCAAACTATGGATTTTAAATAACCCTTTCTGTTCAACGTCAGGGTCGCATTCGTCCAAGAAATATTTCACAATATCTGTGCTACCCTTTAAACATGCAAAATATAATGCAGGCTTTCCGTCGATTTCAAAAGTTACTATTGATTGTCAACATACATAATGTTGTGATGATTTTGTAAGGTTTATTTTCATCAATACATTTGTGTATAATCCTTGCATACTTTTCAATTTCAGAATTACTCAGTGCAGCTGACATATTTATTCACTTTAACATATACCTTTAGAAACGATAGTTAAAACAGCTGATCAGCACCAAGCGATATGCGAGTCCTTGTCTGTAAAG